AGGAAGTTTTGCCGGGGCTGAGTTAGCCGCTGACAAGGTGACCTTTGCCCCCCCCCCCCCCCCCCCCTCCAGGTCCGCACCCTAGGGTTTAGGGTTTGGGGTTTATAGGGTTTAGGGTTGCAGGGCGGGGGGAAGGGGGGGTAACCTTGCAAAAATATAGGTATATAGTATATTGACTTCAGCTCTTTTCTGTCAAAGTCTCATCCTTGCTCAAGTGGCACCATTCTTCAAGACTCTTTATAACAACAGGGCAAGAATTACAATACGAACAGAGTCAACGCAGCTTGCGCGTGCCAAAGTTTCATCTTTAGTAACTCGGGGGCTTCCCGGGCAGGTTCAAGGCCATCCGCCTTTACTTGGAGGTTCATGGTACTTATAAACAAAGTATAACTGTACTTCTAACTTGACTTATAACCTATATTAGGCCACGTAAGGGGCTCATAAGCGGGTTATACGTACACTTAGAACTTGTTTGTAAGTACCATGAACCTCCAGGTACAGGGTTCACAGGGTTTACACGGCTTACAGGGTTTTGAGTTTTTAGGGCCAGGGAGTAGGGTTTAGGGCTTACCCAAAGGCTCCAATGTAGTTCCTTTTTGGGCTAGTTATGGGGGAATCTAGTATACTACCCCAAAAAGGTACTACATAGGAGCCTTTGGGTAGGGTTTAGGGTTTAGGCTACATTCGAGATGAGAACTTGGGGCAAGAGCGCAGGCTTATAGACCCTTTATCCTCAACCTTCGCGCTAAGGGTCCATGGGATGAAGGGAGATTTAATTTGCCTCAGAAGTCCCAAGAGAATAAGAATAGTTCTCCCTCATAAGGGCTATATAGGGATCATGTTAGCTGTTTTTTTTTTTTTTTTTTTTGGGGGGGGGGGGGGGGTTCTTAAGCAAATAGTAGTGAAGGGTCTACAGGGAAGGAGCAGGCTACCTCGCTTTCGCACCATGCCCCCCAAAAAGGGCGGGCGCGGATCTTGCAGCCCTAGAACCCTAAACCATATGGGTTTAGGGTGCAGGGTGGAGGGAGGGTGGAGGGTGTAGGGTTTAGGGTTCCCTACAGAATTTCCTGCCGCAGCCCAAAGCACCGATCTAGGGTTCAGGGCTTAGGAGTTCGGTTCTGAGCGGATGGAGCTGGAGACCCTGAAGCCTGAACCCTAAACCCCAAACCCCAAACCCTAAAAGCCTGAAGCCGTAACCTGAATCCTCGAGCTTCAGCATCAACCCCGAACCACAAACCCCGCAAAAGCAACAGTCTAGACCTGACACCTTACACCTCAGTCCCAAGACCTTGTAAGCCCTAAGCCTGTTGAAACCCCTAAACCTCAAACCCTGCAAGCCCTACAGGCCTTACATCATCAAACCCTACCCTAAGAAATCCATGTACCTATTTAGCATATACTTGGGCACTTAAGCTACTATATCGGACCCACTTTGAAGCCCAGGTATAAACTATACAGGTACATGGATCCTTAGGGCTATCCCCTAACCCCTACACCCCCTTACCCCCGTACTCCCTACATTTCCTACCCTCTACCCCAACCCTAAACCCTAAACCCTAAACCCTAAACCCTAAACCCTATACTCTTTACCCTCCCCGAGCCTTGTGGCGCCAGTCCTGCCGCACAGGGACTTGCAGGGTGGTCAGGGTGATGGCTTGGCTTCCGGGTTGCTTAAGGGTTTAGGGTTTAGGGTTTAGGGCTAAGGCTTTTGGGTGGGGTTTAAGGTTTAGGGTTTAGGGCGTAGAGCTTATAGGGTTTAAAGGGTTTAGGATGTAGGTTTAAACGCTTTTCGGGTTTAGGGTTTAGGGCTTATAGGGCTTACAGGGCTTGCAGGGGTCTATAGGGTTTATGGGGTTGATAGGGCTTACAGGGTTACAGGGTTCAGGGTCTCAGGGTTTAGGGTTCATGGTCTAGGGTTCTCTGGGTTGAGCCTTTAACGTCTAGCTTGGCGAGCCCTGGAAAGGGCTTCGGGCTTTGGGGGGGTTTTGGGATTCGAGGCTAAGGGGTTGATTCGCCTTTACCGCTGCCATGTGCCAAGACTCCGACTATACGACGGAAATGCCCCCGACACCCCTTAATGAAGGAAGAGACGGTAAATCATGATATGGATCCCTAAACCCTAAACCTGAAACCCTAAACCCTAAACCCTAAACCCTAAACCCTAAACCCTAAACCTACTTGCGGTATACTCGCTTTTTTCAGGAGCATTGGGCTCCTTGGGTTCATTTTTTTTAGGGTTTGGGTTTGGGAGTTAGAGTCAGAGGGTTTGAATACATGGGACTTTAAGATTGTAGCTTTCGGGTTTAGGGTTCTTAGAGGAAGTTCTAGCTTCAGTACAGTCAGCCAGATTTCAGTCGAACCACATGCTACATACCCTTCTGTCTTACTTCTTTCAGATGTATTTACCCTGGGAAACGTGAGGGAACGCGGCCTGGGTTTCCGGGCTGATAGACAGCACTATGGCAGCTTCATTTTTTCCTATAGAAACTGCCTACTTGATGCCGTACCGTATAGTATGAAACAGATTGAAGCAGCTGCCCCAATTCTAATTACTAGTTCATAACAAGGAATTCGGGAAGTAGGTAATTACCCTACATAATCTTAGGGTAGTTCCATGGTCCCTTAGTATAGGCCCTTACATGGGGACACCTTGTGTACCTCTCATATACCCTATAGAACCCATGGGTTCTTACTTCAGAACCCATTAGAGAAGGGAAGGGACCATATGAAGGGCCCACATTAATATAAGCACCCTGAGATACGACCCATTTTAGGGTTACATTCCCTACCGAGAACTAGTGGGTGGAAATCTGCGAACCCTAAATGGCGCTCCTGTGAAGATCTCCGCGACTGGCGGATGTGGTGCGAGCCTTCAGGGAGGCAACGCAGCAACGTTTTAGGCCTAAGGGTTTGTATACCTAAACCCTAAAACCCTAAACCCTAAACCCTAATTTTCGGGTTCAGAATTTAGGGGATGGCTCTCAGACTCTTGCTTTGGAGCATACTGTAAAGGCTGCTGGTGTACTTTGAGGCCAGGGGGGATGGTTCAGAAGCCTAAACCCTTTTCCCTAAACCCGAAGCTCAGAAGCCCTACTTGGAGCTGTACTTATAATCCACTTATAAGACCCTGAAGTGCCCTAATACAGTATAAGTAGAGTTAGATGTACAGTTATAATTTATAACTGGTTAGTAAGTACCATGAACCTCCAAGTAGTGCCTAAACCCTAAACCCTACGCCCCGACCGAACCCATGCTTAGGGATGTACGGCGTCCTACGGTTAGGGGTTTTGGCTTGAACTCCTTGCTCGAGAACACTAGGCCCTCACATGCTCATAAGCTTGTTGGCCTTAGTAGTATTTTCAACATGGACAAGAGTATCCCTAGCATTAAGAAGTCTACAACATGATGATGACAAGAACCGATGATAAGAAGACGAATAACAAAGAATACGAATGAATTATTGTAAGGATAGGCATAAGAACCATAGTGCACTCAAGCTTGGGGCCCACAATGCCCAGGGGCCCCGGCCCAAAAGAATATCAGGGCTGACATAGGCGCCAGCCTAGGCGGGTTTAGGGTGGGGGGCGGGGGCCTGGAGATTGCTTGGGGCCTGTAGAAGGCTTGCCGACGTTTGGGATTAGGGATTTCAAAAGAGCTCAGGGCAGTTCATGGACCTGGGACGAAGTCGGGGGCGGGGGGAGGGGGGGGGCGGGGGGGGGGGGGGGGGGGGGGGGGGGGGGGAGATTGGTAACCCCAAACCGAACCCTACACCCTAAACACCAAATCCCTCCAAGCGTTTTCAATCATTCCCCAGGATTACCACACACCCCCTAAAGCCTCCAAACCCCAAACCACAAGCTCTAAACCCTAAATCCTAAACTCTACGCCCTAACCCAACCAGGGATGCCCTAGCTTCCCCCAAAAAAGATGCCGAGGTCCCTCCTCCTCGACCCTCCTCCCCTCAAGGACCCTAGAATTCAGCATGCAGGGTTCGGGGCCTAGGGTTTCAGGGTTCAGGGTTTAGGTTTCCGGGTTTTGGGGTTTAGGGTTTATGGTTTGGTGTTTAGGGTTTCGCCCCTTGGAGTGCTACTATCGACCTCAGGAGACCGAAATTCCATGGGCCCTGTGCACCCACGTCTGAAACCCGAACCCCAAAACACCACAAACCTGAACCCCTGACTCAGCCCGGCCCTAAACCCAAAACACCTACATGAGCTCCTATAAAACTCCTCAAAAATCGTGAAAATCCCCTTTAAGAATAGCCCTGAAAAAGAAAAAAAAACCCAAAATTGCAGACCGAGACAGCGGCGCTGAGATTCAACAGGTAGGACCGCACCAAGGTTCCGTCGGCAGTGAAAGGAGCCTCGCACGCTGGAGGCTGGGGACTATTGTAGGACCCAGGGTTTAGGGTTCAGGGCAGTAGGTATCCTAAAGCCTAAAGCCTGAACCCTGAACCCTCAACTTAAGCTTAGTAGGGCTTTAGGGTTTCTTAGGTTTTTGGGATTGTAGGGCTTTGGGGGTTGTAGGGACTTTAGGGACGGTAGGGACTTTAGGTAGAGTCTTAGGGCTTAAGGCAGTGTCTACCCTAAACCCCAACTGGGCAAGGTTTCAGGGCTTAGGCTTTAGGGCTTTAGAGTTTTAGGGTAGGGTTTCGGGGTTTAAGGCTAGGGGCTTTGGGGGATCGGGGTATCGGGCTTGGCACTTGAACCTTGCTTCAACCCTGAATCCCACACCCAGAAAGGGCACGTCCACGAAGCAAACACGTCTGAGAGCCATGAAAGGGAATGAGAGGGCCACAAAGCATCCTAACGAATCCCAACTCCGACCCTAGCCCTGAGCCCTAAGCCCGTACAAATTTGAGGGGGTTTAGGGTTTAGGGTTTAGGGTTTAGGGTTTAGGGTTTAGGGTTTAGGGTTTAGGGTTTAGGGTTTAGGGTTTATGCGCCCTCTTTCTGAACCGAAAAGCTCCCATTTGGGATCCTGCGATCGTGCGGAGCCTGCCTGTATATGCACGTCTTCGATGAGGTAAACCCCGCCTGCTCAGTTTGGCATTTCTGGGTTTAGGGTTTAGGGTTAGAGGTTCAGCTTTAGGGGTCGGGCTTAGGGTGCAGGTGTAGGATGTAGAGTGTAAAGGGAAGAGCGCCTAGGTTGGTTCATGTTGCGCTGCCGTCCACGGCGCAGCAACGCCTCCAGCCGTTTCGATGTTCATGATGGACGCTCTCGATGCTCGAGCTCATCTCTATGTCAATAGAATTGATTCCCAAAGAGCCCAATACCCCTCAGATTAAGGAATTCTCCTTAAGAATCATCTTAAGGACTTCTTATATAACTTATAAGGAATATTCCGATTCCTTCAAAAAAAGAGGGTAATTATTGGGACTCTCTAGGAGAGCAATCTTAACCGCAGCCCGCCACATCTGCCAATGGCCAATCTCGGACTCCTCGGCATCTCCCGGAAGGGTTCATGGTACTTTATGAACCAAGTAGTAACTGTGCTTCTAACAATGAACCTTAATTATAACCAGTGCTTATAACCCATAGTCTTAAGCCCCTTTTAAGCGCCCTATAATGGGGGTTATAAGTACAGTTGTTAGAACTGTGCCTTCTAACCCATAGCCTCAGCCCCTCTTAAGTGCCCTATAGTAGGGTTATAAGTACAGTTGTAAGATGTGCTTCTAACCCATAGTCCAAGCCCCTTTGAAGTGCCCTATAATAGGGTTATAGGTACAGTTATAAGAACAGTTAGAACTGTGCTTCGAACCCATAGTCTAAGCCCCTTCTAAGTGCCCTGTAATAGGGTTAGAAGTACAGTTGTAAGAACAGTTATCCTAAACCCTAAGCCCTAAACCCTAAACTCTAAAGCCCCTTAAGTGCCCTGATAGGTTTTTTTATATAAGAACAGTTATAATTGGTTCATAGGTGCCATGAACCGCCAAGTCGGGACACCACCCCTGCACGTCGGCTCGCATGTTTTTTTTCCCCCCCCCGAATTCGGCCTACAAGGCACCCCGAAGTGACAGGTTTAGGGGTTTCCAGGGTTTAGGGTTTAGGGCTTAGGGGAAGTGATTTCTGCATCTCCAGAGGATTAGCCTCAACGTGGCTCGCACAAGGTGCAACGACTCTCCGCGGCCCAAGCCAAGTATGGCGGCTCATCAGAATACACGTTCCCAGCGACGAGAACCCTAAACCCTAAACCCTAAACCCTAAGAGAACTATCATTCCCCCAATCCAAGCTTTGGACATCAACACCGCTGTGTAAACATGTCGTGAAGCTGCAGACTCCCAACGACATACAGCCAGGGCATCTCAACATAGCTAACCCTAAACCCTAAACCCTAAACTCTAAGGTTCTGAGTTGAACGCGACCTAAAGGGTCTAAGCCCTTGAAGCCCACACGGCACAAGACCCTGCAAAGTCAATACTCCCGAAGGCTCACCTTCATGGGATCTCAAGGGTGTAGGGGTTTCGGGAACACCCTAAACCCAAAACCCAAAACGCTAAACCCTAAAACTCGAAACCCTAAACCGCAGCTCAGCGCCCACACCTGGTCGCAGGAGTGAGGGGAAGTAGAGCTCAAATCGAGCTATTTGGTCCTGACATAGAGAGGCGCATAGAGGCGCCGAATTCCGGTTGATGTAGGGTTTAGGGTTTGGGGTTTGGGGTTTGGGGCTTGGGGTTTGGGGTTTGCGGTTTGCGGTTTGGGGTTTGGGGTTTGGGGTTTGGGGTTTAGGGTTTGAACCCAGAAGCTTGAACCCAATTCAAGGGAGGCTTGTTGCCACCTCAAACGGAACCCTGCAGTCTCTGTGAACCCAATCCAGCTTCGAAGTTGCTTCATGAAGGAAGATAAGTGTTCTACATGCAGATATGAGGGCTACCCAAAGACCCCTTACTTAAGGAATATTCCTTAAATCATACTAAGGGTCCTTGTATAATTTAGGGTGTATTCCTAAGGAGTATTGGGCTCTCTGGGTAAGGGTTTAGGGTATGTATACGGACGATGTGGCGACTCCAAATCTTGGGCTCATTTGGGACTCTCGAAACCTTCAGCCCCTAGACCCTAAACCCTAAAGCCTAGAAAAAGCCCAAAATCCCAGGTTTAGAGTTTGGGGTTTAGGGTTTAGGGTCTAAACCCTACACCTTAAACCCTAAACCCTAAACCCAGACGCCAAACCCCAAATCCTAAACACCGAAACTTGCAACCCTAAATCCCGAAACCCCAGTCCTTCGCCCAATGGTTCGCATCGTCGACAATAACCTGGGGCTTGAGGGACGCTCACCCCTATAACCCCTAAACCCTGAACCCTCATGCGGTTTCAGAGGATCATGCTCGGGAGTTCTATTCAGAGGGCATAAAAAGGGGGCCAAGGCGGGTTTAGGGTTTAGGGTTTTGGGTTTGGGGTTTAGGGTTTAGGCAACAAGGGAGTATGATAACATATCTTAAAGAGCCAACCAATTTTAGGGCTTAATTGGGGTTTACAGGTTCAAACCTCAGGTATGCGAAAACCACAGGGCCCTAAACCCGACACACACACACACACAGAAAAAGAAACCTTAAACCCTAAACCCCAAAGCCTTAAAGAAAAAATGGCAAGGCCGAATCCTAAACCTAAACCCCAATTAAACACACCCCAGCTGCCTCCACATATGCCCGAAGCCCGAAACCCCTAAGCCCAAAACCGTTAGCCTCCCGGGATCTGCTGGTGGGTAACCCTAAACCCTGAATCCCTAAACCCTAAACTGGGCCTAAACCCCGAAACTCCTGCACCCTAAAAGCCCTAAACCCTAAACCCTAAACCCCGAAACTCCTGAACCCGAACGACCTGATCCAAGCAGCATCGAAATCTTTGAAGCCCACCTCCCCCAAGGCGTCGAAGCCAGATTGGTCTGAGGCATTGGCCTGCAGGGGTTTAGGGTATAGGAAAGTTAATTCGGGCTTAGTCCAAAGAACTAAGAACCACCGGTTTAGGGTTTAGGGTTCGGGGTTTAGGGTTTAGGGTTTGGGGTTTAGGGTTTAGGGTTTGGGGATTTGTCGGAAGCTCGAAGCCTTGATCTAAGCCTGTGGGGCAAGCCGATGCTTGATCTAAGCCTGTGGGGCAAGCCGATGCTGGTGGCCCAGACGATGAGGTGCTCGCTGGCAGAGCCCGCTGCCGGCTCAGTGCTGCGTCACAAGAGCTTCTTAGCACTTCTTAGAGTTTAGGCTTTGCCTGAAGGCTCTAATGTAGTTCCTTCTTGATCTTCTTGGGTTAGTTATAGGGGGTTATAGCCAAGGCAGCCTACCCGAAAAGGTCGCCACTGCCCCCCCCCCCCCCACCAAAATACAGGCGTGAGCCAGGGTTGAGGGGGAGGGCGCTAGGCCGATATTCCCCAAGCCCAAGGGGCCCTTAGCAAGTACTTCTAAGGAGGGGCTCTTAGGTAGGATTACCCCAATTAGGGTCCCGTTTAGGGCACTGGCAGCTCGACTTTGTGCCTACTTCCTGAATCCTAAACCAGAGCAACTACTTGCTAACCCCCACTCCCCCACAAGCACCCCGCACGCGTTGGCGGCGCTGGCGCTGGGTGCTGATGTCGAACTCTAAACCCTAAACCTCGAAACGCCAAATTTGTGTTTTTTTTTAGCATGAGGCTACCGGGCCGTGGCGAAGGAGAGGCCCCCCAATGCCTAATGCCTAAAGCCCCCCCCCCCCCCCCTAAACCCTAAACCCTAAACCCTAAGCCCTAAACCTCAAACCCTAAACCCAAAAAAAAATCCTAAACAACCCTATCCTACAGACCGTAAAAGCACTTGCCTGGAACCCTCAAAGCCCGAAGGCCCCTCGTGCCTAGACCTCTCTAACTTCGAACCCCTTAGAGCGGGTTTAGGGCTTGAGGTTTAGGGTTTAGGGTTATACTTGGTAGCCCAGTTAAAACAATACTTTATACCGCTTGTAAGTGGGTCATAAGTACAGTTATAGCTGGGTGATAAGTACCACAAACCTCCAAGTAGGGCTTTTGGATTTAGGGCCACCGGCATCACCCCCAAGAAGAAACAAAGCGGGCACTGCAAGTTCAACGCTTGAACCCTGAACCTTGAGATGTTACCCCTTATTCGAACTGTCCTTCATAGGGACTATAACAGGGGGGGGGGTACTAGAAACGCTATTACGGACGGTTAGCTTAGGGGGAACATCCCAACCCTAAACTCTAAACCCTGACCCCTTAGCCATCCACCCTCAGCCCTGTCAACGCTCCTAGCGTTCCACGTCGCCCCATGCACCGATTGCCACCAAGCACTCTTTGACATTCCAAAAGGGTTTAGGGTTTAGGCTTTAGGGTCCCTAAGCCCGAAACCCCAAACCCTGACCCTACCATACCCATGCTTATTGGTTTAATGCTTTAGGCATAGAGTCTGCATCCCAATTAGACTTTCAGCCGCGAACATAAACCCCTAAAAGCCCTGCCCCCCCCCCCCCCCCACCGCCACACAAAACACAAACCAAAACCAGGGTGCTGCTTAAAGAAAAACGCGAAAATAGTCCAAGGCCTAAACCTTAAACCCTAAACCGTGAACAGCTCAAGGAAGCCCTGAACCCACTTCGTGCCTGCATGACGTAAACATTGCCTGAAAGGCTTGGACTTCTACAGAATCTTACTGGCCCATTAGAAAAAAGGTACCACATAGTTTGACTAAGTCTACATAGCTTCCAAGTAAGGTTTACTTGGAAGCTCTTTTGCCTTAGTAAGTCTACTTCGTATTCCCTTGAAACCCTCTTGCAATCCCCATAACCCACCTTACTAACCCTACTTACTAAGTCAAAAGGGCTTCCAAGCAGGGGCTGTTTAACCCTACACCCTAAACCCGAAACCCTAAACCTCTAAATGCCCTAACCCTAAAGAAGTCAAAAAGGCTTCCAAGTAGGGGGCTTTCTTGATTCGAGCCTCAAAGGATTTGGGTGCGGGTTTCGTGGCTCGGGGAGTTGGGGGTGCACGTCTTGCGTTTCCGAACTGAGTAGATGAACTGATAGGGTTTAGGGTTTAGGGTTTAGGGTTTAGGGTTTAGGGTTTAGGGTTTAGGGTTTAGGGTTTAGGGTTTAGGGTTTAGGGTTTAGGGTCGGCATTCGTTTCTCTTGGCTCTTGGCACACTGGCCTGATGAGGCATTGGAGGTGGTGGTCAGTAGTGATACCCCTCCCCCCCCCTTTTCCCCCCTCGCAAGCAACTTACCCTAACCCCGATTATAGCCCTACACCCTCTCCATCTCTCAACCCTAACCCTAAACCCAAAAAAACGCAAACTCATAACAAGAGGACACTAAAGCTCGAACACCCCTTCGGCGCCTCGCGTGAAGGCGCCGTGCGCAGACAGGACCTAAGCGGCAGCTTGAGGATTGACCGAGGTTGAGGGTTTAGGGTTTCGGGTTTGGGGTTTTGGGGTTTAGGGGTTTAGGGTTTGGGATTTTGGAGTTTGGGGTTTGGGGTTCAGGGTTTTGGATGTATTTGAGCTTCGGGCTTAGAGGTTGGGGCACAGTAGGCTGTGAGTTGGTGCTGCGGCAGTGGACTTTAGCCGGGCTTACGAACCTCGCGGTCCTTGTGAGAAGAGGCTTCATGGGTTCAGGGTATATGGGTCGAGGGTTTAGGGGTGACGGTCTTATAAGGTCTAGGAAATCGGAAGTCTGTTGAACTCTGGCTTGCGACTCAAACCCAAGATGTATCGCCAAAAAGAAGGCTGCCGTCCCGCGGCCAACAGCATCCGTGGAGTGTCGTGCTTAGGGTTTAGGGTTTAGGGTTTAGGGTTTAGGGTTTAGGGTTTAGGGTTTAGGGTTTAGGGTTTAGGGTTTAGGGTTTAGGGTTTTGTGAAATGGTCTTGCCGAAAGCGGTGTAAGCAACCCCCCCCCCCCCCCAACGCTTGAGGCGTTTGGGACGAGGGCGCTTGAGGCTTCGACCACTAAAGGGGCTTGGTGATTTACTTCACAGGATGAGGGGTTTCGAGGTTTATGACCCTCTAAAGCCTGAAGCCCTAAACCTCCACATCTGTGGATCCCGAAACCCTCAACATAAACCTTGGAACAGATTCCAAAACACCTAAACCTCTACATCCTTAGACTTACAAGTAAGCCATTAACCTCCCAAAGCCTTCGACTCGTAATACGGTTTTAGTAGGTTTTATAGGGGTTTAGGATTTCAGGGTTTTAGGCGTTAAAGGGTAGGGGCTTAAGGGGTTTAGGGCTTGAGTGTTTAGGGTTTAGGGTTTAGGGTTTTTGGTAAGCCCGGAATCTTCGGATTTCGGGGTGTGGCCGGTCTCCCCTTCATGTGGAAGGTGAGCAAGTTCTTGTCCATGCCTGCACCAGGAGCCGGCCACTCGCCCTTCCCCCCCCTCCCCCCCCCAGCCAAGGGTTTAGGGTTTAGGGTTTAGGGTTTAGGGTTTAGGCTTTAGGGTTTAGGGTTTGAAGGGCCGTCAGCTCGATGTTTCGGGTTTACAGTAGGGTTGAGGGCTGCCTGCAACCCTAAACCCCAAACCCTAAGCTACCCTGAGCCCTAAACCCCCCTGAACTGTAAACCCTACACCCTAACTTTGGTCCAGAGGCGAGCGCTCTGCGCTACTGCTCCCGGAGCACAGGCCGTGCACTTACCGCTGCTTGAAAACCCTATCGCGGTTTAGGGTTTAGGTGTAGGGTTTCGGCATTAGGGTTTAGGGTTTGGGTTTAGAGTTTAGGGTTATACAGAGAGCCCAATACCGCTTGATTCAGGAAGACATACCTAAAACTGGATCCTTCGTACTTCAAGTTCAAGGTATTTGCCTTGATTAAGGTGTCTTGGGCTCTTTGGGTAAGCCCTCAAGCCTCAAGACTAAACCCCAAGCACTAAACCCTAAACCTAAACTGCCCGTCAGTTTTCCTTCACAGTCGAAAACATCGAGGGCCTAATTGATACTTTAGGGCTTCAGGCCCGGAGTTGGTGGGTTGGGCTTAGGGCCTAGGGCCTAGGGCCTAGGGCTTAGGGCTGAGGGCTTAGGGCTTAGGGCTTAGGGTTTAGGGTTTAGGGCTTAGGGCTTAGGGCTTAGGGCTGAGGGCTGAGGGCTGAGGGCTGAGGGCTGAGGGCTTAGGGCTTAGCGATTAGGGCTTAGGGCTTAGGGTTTAGGGTGTCGGGTTTAGGGTTTAGGGTTTGGGTCGTACAAGGAGGGGGGCAGCTAGCTCTAAGGGCCCTAAATTGGGTTCTACGTCGCCTAAGTTAGGCTTGACCATAGCTAGTATCGCAAAGGGGCCCCTCCTTGTAAAAGCCTCATGGCAGGCAGAACAGCTAGCTTCAAGCAGCACCCTAAACCCTAAACCCTAAACCCTAAGCCCTAAACCCTAAACCCTAAACCCTAAACCCTAAACCCTAAACCCTAAACCCTAAACCCTAAACCCTAAACCCTGAACCCTAAACCCTAAACCCTAAACCAAACGATAGCCCTTTCATGTCGCCAGGGCGCTCTGGTGCTAGGATGTGGATATGGGCAGTGCTGCTTAACAGAAAAGGATACTTTCCTTCTGAAGTCGGTATTGCGATACGCTCAACCATAAATCTTCTGAGATCGAAAATTCCCTTGAATCCCTAAACCCTAAACCCTGCAAATCCTAAACCCTAATTTAAAGACTCTAGAGCTATCCTGATTCACATGGACCTGGGTTAAGGCGGGACCTCGGGTTCAGGCGGCACCTTGGGATTGACAAGTTCACGGCACCTTCCTGTACAATGAATTTGGGGGGACCCCAAGTATGCTCAAGGGGTACATGTACCCTCAATGTCGGGCGTCTTAAAGTTGCCATCATTATGGTAACTCAATGGCCACTTAAGTCATTATGGTAACTCAATGGCCACTTAAGGGGTTTTGGGTTTAAGCTTAACATCAACAAAGTAGACCCACCCGCCTACCACAGTGCCATGCGGGAAGTACTCGGACCACATGGCCAGGGACGAGCCCATCCGGACCTCTTTAGCAAATCGAAACCCGAAACCCTGAACCTGAAGGGGGCTTGGGGGGCAAACTGAACCCTGCAGATAGTCGTTTGAACCATGTGGGCCTGGATTGACATCCTCGACCAAGAGTACCCTAGGAACAAAACCTAAAACCCTAAACCCTGAACCCTAAACCCTAAACCCTAAACCCACCCTAAAACCCCAAACCAGCCCTTTTTGGTTTAACGGGGCATATAAGGCAACCCAAGCTTTAGATAAAGGGAATAGGGGAATCCCCAGACGCTGCCGGCCCCAAATTCGGCCCCAGGCCCTAAACACCAGACCCGAACATCACCCCAACTTGAAGCCCTCACCCCCCAAAATCCCATCCCTCCCCCCCCCCCCCCCCCCCCCTCCAGAAAACTTAAAACTCTAAAAAACACGAAACACCCGAAAAAACAACACTCTTTGAGGGCCCTAAACAGGCACAAGGCATTTGGGGCTTAACTAAGCTCAGAAAGCATAGTAGTCTTACCCGAAAAGTTCTCAAAGTTGGACCCCAAGGCCCGCTAAAACCCTCAACCCTCGAAGCATCGAGGTCCAGGGTTTAGGGTTTTCTGGGGGCCTAAGGTTTAGTGCTGAGAGTTTAGGGTTTAGGGTTTAGGGTCTAGGGGTTTGGGTTTAGGGTTTACGGTTTAGGGCTTAGGAGGAAAACAGCGTCCCTAAAACCCGTCTCAGGAGCGAGCGCCGAACTCCAGAACGTTTGCAGTCAGGGGAAGGTGGAAGAGGAGGCGTTCGTAATTCCCCAGGTAGTCGTGCCAGCCGCTTGCCTGAGTCTGAGGAGTCTAGTTTGTTTGTTTGTTTTTTTTGAACGGTTTTAGAGTTTAGGGTTTTTGCGCCTATTTGGCCTCAACGCTGGCAAATGGGGGTGACGATCGGGTTTAAAGGGTTTATAGGGCTTAGGTTTCAGGCTTCAGGGTGTATATCTAGGATTTAGGGTTCCGGGCCTCAAGAACCTGAACTTTACCCCGAACCTTGAACCCTAAACCCCAAACCCTAAACGCTAAACCGTGAACCCAACAACCCTAAACCCTAAACCCTAAAGCCTGAACCAGAAACTACTGGCTCTCTAGAGGGGGCCTTGTCCCCGCTTCCGATGGCCGGCAGCTCAAACAGCGCCTTGGGCATTGGCTACTAGGGGTTTAAGGGGTTTAGGGTTTGGGGCTTAGGGTTCTATGGTTTTCGGGCTTAGGGTTTGGGGTTTGGGGTTTAGGGTTTGGGGTTTAGGGTGGAGTTAGGATGTTGGCTTTGCGTCTTGCTTCCAGGGGTCTAGGGTTAGAGTTCGGGGTTCAGGATTTAGTGCGTTATTGGGGGGTTTCGGGCTCTAGCTTCGGCAAAGACCGGTCTATAAGGGACTGTAGGGTCTTACTCAGGGGCTCGCGGGCTCTGAATCTGGAACTTTCCAGGGCGGGGTTTAGGGTTTAGGGTTGTCGGGTTCTTGGCACCGAAAACTTATAAAGACGGCGGGATGAAGGCTAATTTCTTGCAGGGCCCAGGATCCTCCCAAATTCGGCTTAGGGTTGGGGGTTTACGGAGCTTCCCCAAATGCAACAGCCCTGGATTTGGGGTTTAGGCTTTAGGGTTTAGAGTTTAGGGCGGACGAGGCGCACCAATCTCATCCAAGGACATCTGACAAGCCAGTAGCCCCAAGTCCTGCTGGGCTCAAGGTCAACTATGTACCCTCATCGCCTGAGGTTACCTTCAACCCGAAACCCTAAACCCTAAACCCTAAAACCCTTCACTCCCCTTAATCAAGGAACGCATCATAGGTCATGTTCCCGTCGTCATCTCTGTCATTTTCGCCGCCTAACCCCACCTTGGTAGCCCAGAAACCATACTACAATCAGGGTAATATAGGGGCCTGAATAATTAGAATAGGGCTTTTTGGCGGCGTGGATGGGGGGTTTAAAGTATATTTTTAAAGGGGCCCTAAGGGGATACTAAATCAGTAATTATTCCGACCCCTATGTTACCCTTTTCGGGTTGGTCACTGTTTAAGGGAGCCTTGAACCCAAAAAAACGTCAAAGGGTACCACTGGGCTACCAAGCCAAAAGGCCACCTAGATTAAACTCACAAGCATGGAGGAACCCTCTCTACACTCAAAGAGTTCAGGGCCTAAGCCCCACCCAAAAAGCTCAGCTTCAAACGCTTCCAGAGCCCAAAACAGCACCGAAATCTCTCGCAACCCCTCCCGCCCCACTTTGATGCAAAGGGCTTAGGGTGTTTTAGGTTTCAGGTCGAGGATTGAAGGTGCCTGCCCCGCGCAGCGGAATAGGAATCCAAAAGGTCTTGCCAAAATCTTAGGTTTAGGGTCAAGGTTTGGGGTTTAGGGTTTGAGGATTTAGCATAGGGTCGTAATTGTAGATTTTTAACACAACTTTAAACTGCTAACAAAAATCGTTTCGCTACTAAAGTTGTTCGAAAACCATGTTGTAACAGGTGTTTTAGGCGTTAGGGATGTTGGATTGCGCCTATGGGTGGCGGTTGGCTGTAGAAGAGAAGTAGGGTTGTACAGTTCAAAGGCTGGAGGCTTGGTTGAGTTCCCTTGTACTTATCAACCCAATTATAACCATATTAGGGCACTTAGGGGGCTTATAAGAGGGTTGTAAGTACAGTTATAACTGGGTGATAGGTACCACGAACCTCCAAGTAGGGTTTAGGGTGTTAGGGTGGAGTTTTCGAGTTTTCAGGGCATTGGGATTGCTGTGGTGGCTGGTGTGGTAGAGTCTTAGGGCTTCTTGGGCTTAGTGTACTGTAAATGGGCTTACAAACCGAGAATAGACTCCACTACTCTGTAAGTCCACGGCGTCCTCCTCGGAGGTTGCATGGGGACAGCGGCTCGTCCTCGTCTTCGCTTTGGTCGTTCTTGAGCCAAGTCCTCAACGCGCAGCTGCCACGGGCGATCTGGCGCTTAGTTAGAACCCTAAACCCTAAACCCTAAACCCTACACCCTAAACCCTAAACCCTAAACTATAGACCCTGAAGCCTTGCTCCGTAGTTCCTATTTGGGGCTTGCTCTGGTGGATTATCGTATACTGGAGCCGCTGATGAGGTAGATCCTTAGACCTAAGTAAGCCCCTTCGGATGCAACACTCAGGTTCTGGACAATCGGAAGTCCTCCTAGGGCTCCTAGGTGGTGGTTTCCGAAAGTTCGGTACTGTATTGGGGTCCTTATTAAGGGAATCCTACTACTTGGGGGGTCTGTTTTAAGGGTTCCATTTTGAAACCCCATGTAGTGGGTAGTTACTAGAAATCATGAGTCACTGTAACTCCCCCCCCCCCCCCCCAAAAAAAAAAAAAGCCTTCTGGTAAGGCCTAAGCCATCAAATCCTAAAACCTCAATACCCTAACAATGCTCAAGCCCCAAAAAGACCCTTAATACCCAAAACCCTCGAACCGGAAGCCTAAAATCCTGAAACCCCTAACCTCAAGCCTAACCCTAAACCCTAAACCCTAAACCCTAAACCCTAAACCCTAAACCCTCATGGGGTCCTTCTGGCAAACCACCCGCTTGAAGTGGCGGCCTGGCTGGAAAATGGCCAGCGCTTCGAGTGAGCGTGTAGAGGTTCGGGTTTAGGGTTTAGGGTTTAGGGTCTAGGGTCTAGGGTCTATAGGGTCTAGGGTCTAGGGTTTAGGGTTTAGGGTTTAGGGTCTAGGGTCTAGGGTCTAGGGTCTAGGGTCTAGGGTCTAGGGTCTAGGGTCTAGGGTCTAGGGTTAGGGTTTAGGGTTTAGGGTTTAGGGTTTAGGGTTTAGGGTTTAGGGTTTAGGGTTTAGGGTTTAGGGTTTAGGGTTTAGGGTTTAGGGTTTAGGGTTTAGGGTTTAGGGTTTAGGGTTTAGGGTTTAGGGTTTAGGTTTTAGGGGTTAGGGTTTAGGGTTTAGGGTTTAGGGTTTAGGGTTTAGGGTTTAGGGTTTAGGGTTTAGGGTTTAGGGTTTAGGGTTTAGGGTTTAGTGTAGGGTGTAGGGTGTAGGGTTTAGGGTTTAGGGTTTAGGGTTTAGAGTTTAGGGTTTAGAGTTTAGGTTTTAGGGTTTAGGGTTTCAGGTTCAGGGTTTAGGGTATGTGGGGTATTGGGCTCTTTGGCTAGAGGCTACGCAGTTCATTCTGGTTCTTTCGGAGCTCACGGCCCCATGCTACACTGCGAAGGCGGGGGAGATGGCAAGCTCCTACACCCGCCGTGTGGCCGCAAGCCTAAGCTGCCTAGATCCCTGAACATCCCCAGAAGAGGGTTTAGGGTTTAGGGCCCCTAATCCCCCGAAGAGGGTTTCGGGTTTGGGGCTTCCTGAATATGGCGCAGAAGCTGTGAAGACTGGCTTCGAAAGCTTCGTGAAGTGCGAAGAGCAGCTTTGGCCCGTGTGGAGGGCCATCTAACACTTGCATCCCACCCCACGCCACCTCAGGCAAAACTCACCCTTAACCTATTTCAGGGTTTAGGCCGAAACTTCAGTCAAAGCGCCGCCCCCCAACTGTAGGGTAGGCCTTGAGCTTGGGGTATGTCTAGGGCATAACCCTAAATCCTAAACCCTAAACCCTAAACGGTTTAGTTTAGGAAACCCTGAGTCCCCAATCCCCAAGATGCTTGCCTCGGTGGCAAGGGCGCCTCACAGCAGAAGCCGTGCGTGAAGGGCCTGGGGGCCGATTGCAGGGGAGGTGTGTTTAGGGTTTAGGGTTTAGGGTTTCGGGTTTAGGGCTTAGGGTTTAGGGTTTGGGGTTTAGGGTTCCGGGTTCAGAGTTCAGGGGTTTTAGGGTCCAGGGTTCAGGGTTAACCCTAAACCCTAAACCCTAAACCCTAGAAGCCCGGGGGCTGCTTACGGGTTGAGGGCTCGCGTCTTGGTTTCGGATCTTACGCGCTTTGGGTTTGGGGATTCTGAACTTGTGGATTGGGTTGTAGAGTTTGGGGTTCACAGCCATCTTTCAGACCTTAAAACCCGAAACCCTAAACCCTAAACCCCCTAAACCCTAAACCCTAAACCCTAAATCCTAAACCCTAAACCCTAAACCCTAAACCCTACACCCTAAACCCTAAACCCTAAACCCTAGACCCTAGACCCTCAACCCTAAACCCTAGACCCTAGACCGTATATAGACTAAGACCCTAAACCCTAAACACTAAACTTTCACCAAGCACAAGCCACTAGAGCCGTTTCCCTTCTCCCTCTACCCTAAACTCCCTACACCTTATAAACCCCGTCTCAGTTCTCTAAACGATGGTACCTTTTGGGGGTTCCTTTTGAGGCTTTAGGGTTTGCTTAGGGTTTTGGGCTCTGTCCGGAGGCCGCAAGTCTCTGAGGCTCACGCCAACTCCAGCACTCGCTCGCGGTCGCCCGGCAGCAGAGATCGAAAGTGAACCCCTTCCAAGGCGCGTGCCCTAGTAAACCCTAAACCCTAAACCCTAAACCCTAAACCCTAAACCCTAAACCCTGGTTGAATGGGGTTTTCGGGCTATAGAATTTAGGGAGACCACAGAGCATAAACCCTACAAAGAGGGTTCTAAACTCTAAACCCTATAACCCCTGAACCCTGAGCCCTAACTCTCAACCCCTAGACTCCTAAACCCTAAACCAAATGAAGAGGGTAGAAGGCTTGGGCGCCCCAAATCCTTAGCTTTTGGTTGCAGCAAATATGCGGCCGAGGCACTGTTCATCCTTTTTGGAGTTTTGCTGCTTTTGGGTTTAGGGTTTAATGGGCGGATCAAGGGCCCATCCTGGGTCAAAACCATCGTATGTACCTTCTTGTTTAGGGGTGCACCCCCCAAACCCCAAACCCCAAACCCCAAACCCCAAACCCCAAACCCCAAACCCCAAACCCCAAACCCTAAACCCTAAACCCTAAACCCTAAACCCTAAGGCCAAGATGTCTGCGGTTGGAATTGGTGCAGGGTTCCCCGGCTTACGTAGGCATATACGCAGGCAAAGGACCCTTATACCCTCTTACCCAAAGGATCCATGTACCTGTATAGTATATACTTGGGCCCTAAAGCTACGATATAGGAACCCCTTTAAGGCCCAAGTATATACTATACAGGTACATGGATCCTTTGGGTTAGCAGCAAACCAAACCCAGAAGATAAGGCTTTGTATTCTGCTTCTATACTTTTGGGGTCCGTGTTTGTTGAAATGGCCAGCGCGGGTCTCTTCTTGTAGACGCTAAACTCGAGAAAGTTCCCCAAAACCCAATACTTCCCCTTTCAGGAATCTACTTTAACCTCAGTAAGGGTATTGGGCGCTCTGGGTTTAGGGTTGAGGGTTGAAGGGTTGTACTGCTACGCGGGCCCGACTGATTCGCATACAAATCCTATGATGCCCACTCACACCTTTAACCCTAAACCCTCAATCCTAAAACCCTATAAACCTAAACCCTGCACCCTAAACCCTCAATCCTACATGGCCCCTCCCCCTCCCCACCTCCGACCAACACTTCGGGTTGCCAGGACCACCGGAGGCCTCGGCGGCATCCCCGCATATAGTACTACAAGGAGTTAAGACTCGCACCCCCCAGGGTTGTACCCCAGGGGCTTGTCGGGTTTAGGGTTTAGGGGGCCTAGGGTTCAGGGCTTAGGGCTTCTACTGGTATATAACCATATATAAAAAACATATAGATATATGTAAGGCTGTAATAAAAAAAAACATATAGATATATGTAAGGCTGTAACCTCTAAAGGTTCCCCCGCTTCATTCATCTACTCCTTACATGGCCCGAGCGTTACCTTAGGAATCTTTCAAAAGGGTACCCAAGCCCAAGGGGTACCCCCTTAGAGGTCCAAGGCAGAGCTCCCATGTTATTACTACAAGGGGGGGCCCCCAGGCTACTAAGGGAGCTAAATTATTGGTCTTTACCATAAGCCCTGAAAAAACTAACATGCCTGCTACAATCCCGGGTCCCGTTTGGGGAGAAGGGCTGCAGAGCTCAGGGAAGATCAGGGTTCATGATTGAGCTTCAGGACTTAGGGCTTTGAGACTTTGGGGCCGAGGGCTCAGGGGTCTTCGGGTCCAGGGAGGTTCGGAGCTTTCGGGTTTAGGCTTAGGGTTTTAGGGTGGGCTGAGGCTTTAAGGATGGGCATAACTTCATAAAGAGCTTATACTCCACGCTCTCCACATGCTCTATGTTGCACGTGGTGCCAATTGATCCACACGGCCATGGGTTCCCCGACTACCCCCCTCTCTACTACCTCCATGTACCTTTCTTGAACCTATACATTATAAACTTGGGCCCTTAAGCCCAAGTATATACTATATGGGGATTTACCAAAATAAGGGACCCTTTATGCAGACCCCAAATAGTAGGATTCTCTTGTAATCACGACCCCACTAAGGTGCCCCCTAATTTCGGAAACCCCCAATGTAGGTACAAGGACCCTTAGGGTAAACCCTCACCCCTAAACCCTTCTAAACCCTAAACCCTTCTAAACCCTAAACCCTAATTAAACCCTAAACCCTAAACCCTAAACCCTAAACCCTAAACCCTAAACCCTAAACCCTAAACCCCCTTAACCCCCTGAAACGTTTTAGGGATCCGCATCCGGCATCCCCCGCCGCACGCCTGCGAGAAGCTCCCGCTGACGGCGGTGATCCTCGTGCCAGCAGCGCCAGTGGCCTCGGATGAGACAACCGCATACTGTACTTGGAGCAAGAGGTTTTAGGGTTTAGGGTTTAGGGGTTAGGGTTTAGGGTTTAGGGTGGTTTAGGGTGGTTTAGGGTTTAGGGTTTAGGGATTCAGGGTACTTATAACCCTAGTTAGAACTGTACTTATAAGACCCCTAAGTCCCCTAAGTAGGTTATAAGTAGACTTATAACTGTGGTTATAAGTACCCATGAACCTCCAAGTAGGAGCCTTAATAGTTAGAACAGGGTTCTGGGGATGATAAATAAAGGACCATAAGGGGATATTGTTAGTAATTATTCCGACCCCTTTGCTACCCAAACCCTTTGAACTTGGGATGTTCCCCGTTATACTAACAGTCCTTAATGGGGATGATCATAGGGGGTACTAGAACCCCTATTAAGGTCTGCTAGTCTAATTAAGGGGGAACATCCCAACTTTGAGCCATGAAAGAACACAACCTAAGCATCAAGAGCCAGAACGTTTTACTCCCACAAGAGTAGCCAACAAATTCCTGAACTGTGTGTCCCCGCCCCCCTAAACCCCTACGTAAATTGCATGAGGCCGGCGAAATAAAACGGCCCTTAGCCCTGTAGCAGTCATGCCTGGCAATGACTGGCTGGACTCTTTGGTCTGGATTTTGGGCTTATAGGGTTTAGGGTTGAGGGTTTAGGGTATAATTCCTTGAGCCGAAGCCCTGAAAAAGGGAAAGCGCTCGGCCCTGAACCCCAAGAACCATGAAATCCGAGACCCCTGAACCCAATAAGCCCAAAACCCTAAGTCCAGAACTCAAGAGCCCTGAATCCAGAATCTTTAGGGTTCAGGGTTTAGGGCTTACCTAAACCCTAAACCCTAAACCCTAAACCCTAAACCCTAAACCCTAAACCCTAAAGACTCCCTAAGCCCTAAACCCTGAACCCCGGAACCCAGTCTTAGGCCATAGATCCAGCTGGTTGGTCACATGGGTGAGGTTGTACGAAGGCGGGCCAGGCGCTGACGAAAGCACCTTGCAACAAAACAACACAGGGTTTAGGGTTCAGGGTTTTGGGCTTGGAGGTTCATGGACTTGTTAACCCAATTATGACTGTACCTATAACCATAAGCACTTAAGGGGGTCATAGGTACAGTTATAACTCTACTTGGTCGCCCAGTCACGATACGAAAAAAGGGCACCCCTTATGTGGGATGGGTACTTTAGAAGGGAACCTGCAACCAAGAAAAGGGTCAAGGGTACCACTGGGCTACCAAGCCTAAATACACAAGCACGACCCACCCAAACCCGAAACTCTAACCTCTGCCCAAAGGCTCCTATGTAGTACCCTTTTGGGGTAGTATACTAGATTCCCCCATAACTAACCCAAAAAGGAACTACATTGGAGCCTTTGGGTAAACCTCTTGCTACTTGCAGGTTCGTGGTACATATGCACCCAATCATAACCATGTTAGGGCACTTTAAGGGGAATCAGAACTGGGTTCATAAGTGCCATGAACCTCTCGCTACTGCTCATAGAAGCAAACGCAGCTGGCTTCGGTTTAGGGTTCGGGATGTAGAAGAAGTTTAGGCTTCAGTTTCAGGGAAGTTTAGAGAGGCGTCTTTATGGGTCTATGTAGAGGTTTAGGGTTTAGGGTTTAGGGTTTAGGGTTTAGGGTTTAGGGTTAAGGGTTTATCTAGGGTTTAGGGTCAAGGTTTCGACGGGAAGTGTGTATGTCCCAGGCGTTCCGTCTCCGGACTCTGGACAGGTTGTTGTTAAGGACGCTGAACCTCTAAACTCTAGGCCATTGAACCTCCTCCAAAGGGTAGTCTCTACATTCGGGTCACTTTTGGGTCCGTATCTAAGGGTGCCATACTATATAGCAGGCCCCGAACGGGACCCTAATTTGGAAAACTACCCTAAGCGCCCAATACCCCTTAATTACGGAAGATACCATAATTAACGTATACGAATCCTTGAAATTGTGTTGAAGATATATTCCTTAATCAAGGAGTATTGGGCTCTTGAAGCATAACCTTGAGCCCTGAACCCTAAACCCTAAACCCTAAACCCTAAACCCTAAACCCTAAACCCTAAGACCCTCCTAGTCCCCTGAGAAGCCTTCGGGGCAGCATCTTCCGGGGCGGGTGCCGGGACCTTCGGTGGCTCCGAGGCAGTCGAGGTCCTTCATGGGTTAGGGTTTAGGGTTTAGGGTTTAGGGTTTAGGGTTTAGGGTTTAGGGTTTAGGGTTTAGGGTTTAGGGTTTGGGGCTTAAGGTTTAGGGTTTAGGGTTTAGGGCTCAGGGTTTAGGGTTTAGGTTTTAGGGTTAGGCCTTGAGGGCTTGGGGTTTGAGGGTTTGAGGCTCACTGGTCAAGCAGCTTGTCAGGCTTCCGACAATACCCTCCCGCCCCAAAGCAACCATAACATTACGAAGTAGAATGTGTATTGTTTGCTCTTCAGACGCCCCAGTAAGCAAAGCAATCGCAACGCAGAAAAGACGCGTCAACCACACCTTAGCTCAAGAAAAGCGCGCTGCCCAAAATCGCACAATCCCCATGCAGAAATGCACAATGCTCACGAAAAAACACACGATGCCGGCCTTGACCCGCACTGCAGAACCCAAAACGCACAATGCACACGAAATTCCGAACGATGCCCACGAGAATTATTTTGAACAATGCCCACGATGTTTGAACAATGCCCACGAAATTTTGACCAACAGACTTTGCCCACGGAATTGTGAACACTGCCCACGAAAAATTGAACAATGCCTACGACCTTGGAACAACGCCCACGAAATTCTGAACAATGCCATTATTATTTTATCAATGCCCACGAAATGTTGACAATGCCCGCGGACTTTTGACCAAACGACGGAGCTCACGAAACTTTGAACAATGCCCGCGACATTCTGAACGATGCCCGAACTTTTGAACAATGCCCACGAAGGAGTTAAGGGTTAAAAGCGCAAGAAAGGTTTAGGGTGCGACATGCATGGCTCAAACAGAACTGCTTGACGGTAGCCCCCCGCTAAAGCCCAGGTACATACCATGTGGGAAATACGGGGCCCTGAGCAATCAGAATAGGGTTTTGGCCCAAGGGTGTTATTATAGTAAAGATGAATATGGGGCCGAAAGGGAACAAATCTTCCGACCCCTGTATGTATGTATGTATGTGGGTATGCATATGCATATGTATATGTACATGTATATGCATGAAAGTACATGGACCACAGGGTCTTAGATTGCTTGTGGAGAATGCTCTGAGCGATACGCAAAGCTTCCGTGGACAGCGGGGTAAGCAAATCCTCGATTTTTTTTTGAGCGGGGGGGGGGGGCATGGTAGGTCGGGAGTCGGGATCCTTCATAAGGTATATGTGCTTTTTAAGGGGCATCTCTTATGATTTAAGGGTAAGGGCACATATGTATATATATATATATATATAATTATAGTTTTTGTTTTATTTTAAGGGGTGTCGGGATATTGGGGTACCTGAAGGCTCTACCGTAGTTCCCCTTGTGGGGTTAGTTATTGGGGATTCTGGTGCACTATCCCCAAAAGGTGCCTGCATACGAGCCTTTGGGTATTCTCACACGAAAACACGGCACCCTGAATCCTACAGGTCGGAGCTTGTTCAAGAGACTCTGAACCATACTTGGGGAGGCTCATGGTAGTTTATGACCCAGTGAGAACTGTACTTACGACCCACTTATGAGCCCCATACGTGCACTGACATGGTTATAATTGGGCTATAAGTACAGCTATGATCGGGTTAAAAGTACCATGAACCTCCAAGTAGACTCTTGAAGTATCCACAGACTAACTGACGGAACCCCAACAACTACCCTAAGCCCTGAAACCCTGATACCCCGCAGACCCACGACTCAACAAATGTAAATCTTCTTCCTTATAAGGAAATATACTAGGCTGCCCAGTAACCTAGGCTCAAAAAGGGTACCCTTTTTTGCTTAAAGGGGCTTATAAGGGAACCTAAACCCCCCAAAAAGGGAATAAGGGTACTACTGGGCATCCTAGTATAGGGATTATGACTTTTCACTTTTTTTCGGATTTAGGGTTTGGGGGTTTAGGACGGTCCTGTTGCAACAGCGTTCCCAGGTGTTTTCGTCATCCCAGCCTCGGCTTCGGTTCAGGATGCTTACTTGGAGGTTCATGGGTACTTATAACCACAGTTAAAAGTCTTCTTATAACTTACTTAGGGGACTTAGGGGGCTTATAAGTACAGTTATAAATTAGGGTTATAAGTACCCTGAACCTCCAAGTAGGGTTCAGGGGTTTAGGGCTATGAAGCTCTGGGCTTAGTGTCCCTGAACCCAACACCTTAAACCCTACACCCTCTTAGGGCCTCGGTGGTGCAATTGCTCAGGGATTGCAAGGGGTTTTAGGAAGTTGGAGGTCTGGGGCTTCGGTTTCTATCACGTGCTCTTGGGTATGATCCCAAATA